CGAGCACTGTTTCGCAAGGATGTAAGGTTGTTTTTGCATATCCTTGGGAAGAGGTAACCACTACAAATATCTTGAAAGTTACAAGGGATAACAAAATCAGACATAAGGTCCAACACAATTTATATATACATATAAATAATTAAATGCAACTTGCAACACGAACTTAACAACTTCATCCAATTTACTCCTGATGCATGAGTTTGCAAGGTGGGCAGAAATAGCGAGCTGAAAGCAAAGAAAATGTCTACTTGGTAATTACTGGAATTGGATATTATGATGGTTATGCAGATGAGTCTGAACCTATCTGTGATGTGCGAGCAGGGTTGATCACTATAGAAAAGGTTATAACTAGAGCTGGACATTAATGAACGTGGCCACAAGAAGCATTTAGATTTGAAATCACAGACCTGCTACAAGTAACCAAGCAATGATGGCTCTCACAGGACTCAACTCCTTACATAATGGGTTGCTCCACAGGGTAAGTGTAACTCCTGAAATCAAACGTTTTGAAGTTTAATACCATAACGAGCCTTTAAAAAAGTGAGGCCTTCAGTATGAAACCTTCCACCAAAAGAGAGTAATACAGTACCACCTGTTTGATATGGACACCAAGAGGATATGCTACTGGTATTATTAATTTAGGTGTCCACATTGAAGGGGGCTGTCAAAAAAAACCTCACGGACACATGTTTACAAGGCTATGGAGAAAACGTTGCTTAAATTCGTAACTGTAACTGAAGTACAAGTTATTTCTAAAGATACCTCATATCATTTATCGTGGTTAAAAGACTCAATAGATAAAAAATAAAAACTTCAAAATGTATTTGCCTTAAAATACAGCAGCTTTGAACTGACCCTTTTAGTTTGTGACTCAGCCAGGTGGACTGCACACTAGACAGAACTATTGAAAAGATTTCAGCTGAGATTGTTAGGTTTTCACTGAAAGGATGCAAAGAAACTCAGGTTTACAGCTTACCACTTGGGCAAGATGGAGGTTAAGCATGTGCTAGCCCAACGTTATTTCAATAAGGCCCAAAACTTTTTGATGAGCAGAATTAATTTTACAGTTCTTCTGTAATTTGAATTCCCAAAATACTTCACTTCCCCATCAGGCAAGTTAAGAACAGAATTTGGCAGCCCAATGGCAACATTCACTAGCCTCAGGACTATCGGACACTACTTCCTTTGCACACTGCACTGGTAAGAAAATTAATCACACACTGTTCGCAAATAACCAGTGTCCATAAAGCAAGGTTGAGGTAATATGAGATTATTTATATTTTGTGTTTTGGGTGCAAAAAGGTGTCAGTTGTCCATATTAACCTGTGCACATAAGCAGGTTACTTTTACAGACAACATATGAGTGTTTCATCAGGACAACCAAAACTGTCTGCGTCTGTATGAAGCGGATATTTGAGAGCAGGGTTCCACTGTACCAGTTGGCATCTTTGGAAAATTTGAAACAAAAAGAAAAAAGGAACAAAAAAGCCAAAGTGAATGTATGGACTTCATAATATTGAAACAGTGGAAGAAAGCTTTAACAAGTGAAGATCCCTAGCATTGACAGTTATGTTCACAACTCAGTTAAACAGTTGTGAAAAAGAAAGCTGAAAAATTCAAAAATGATCAGGATCTTAACTGGCACGACCTTGTTTGCAATAATTGAGCCAGCTGAAAGCAAGCCATTGGTGAGTTGAAATATAATGCTAGAAGGTGAAGATGGTTAGCATGTGCCCCTATGCACAACATACAAAAGAAGGAATAATTCAATAAGTACTAATATACATACCTTTGGCCTTTCTATCTGCTTTAGACCATGGTATTTTCACTTTAATACGTTTTGGAATTGTAATTGGCTCCCCTACAGATTATGAAATAAAATAAAATGGAGTGGGACAAAAGTAAAAAAATCAGGAGACATTTACTGGTAGCTAGCGTAGTGATCTGTATAATAATGATTATTCAGAGACTCCTCAGTGTCCTATCATTGCAAAGTCAACCACCGGCCAATGACTAGCCGCCGGCGATCCAGAAAATTTTCAAGGTGTAGTCAATTCCATTGTTTCAAATAGCTCTAGTGACTTTTCTGATGATGATTTTTCAAACTCAGATCACTCTGATAAGGCAGTAGAAATAAGGTCGCTGTTAAATTATGAGTTTACCTCAGGGCAATATAACGGCCCTTCGGTTCGTGGTCCTTTGTCTTTGTGCTATGATCAATGGGTGAAATTAGGCACTTCGGGGTTCATATTAAGCATTGTCCATGACGGTTATAAAATTCCTTTTGTGACTCTTCCGCCCCCCAAAGTTAGTCCTAACAATCTCTCTGCTGTTACCCATAGTCATTTTGTTTCTGAGGCTATTTTCGACCTGTTAAGAACTAATTGTGTTGAGATTCTTGATCACAAGCCGGATATCATTAATCCACTTTCTGTCTCCATTCAGCCTTCAGGCAAGAAGAGATTAATTCTTGATTTGAGGCATGTTTTTAAGTGAAATTTAGATGCGAAGATGTATTGGTTGCCCTTCAAATTTTCTCTCAAGGGTTTTTTCTTTTCAAGTTCGACTTGAAGTCCGGTTATCATCACGTTGAAATTTTTCCTGATCACCGTAAATACTTAGCTTTCTCCTGGGATTTTGGCGATGGTGTCGTGAAGTATTTTCAGTTCCCAGTTTTACCTTTCGGGTTGTCTTCCGCACCGTATTTGTTCACAAAATTATTAAAGCCTATTCTTCGTGGAGGTGCGAAGGAATTCCCATACCTATTTTTCTCCATGACAGCTTAGGGGGTGGTAGTAATTCTATCAAGGCCAAAATCAACAGTTTGACTGTTCGCGCTGATTTGACTAGGTGCTTCAGAGGGTTCTCAAAGCTCTGCTTGGAGGGAGCTTAGGACTGTAGACCTGGCACTTTCCGCCTTTGCTCCTGATCTTCAGGGTAAAAAAGTTGCTTGGTGTACTGACAACACTAGTGTAGTAAGCATCGTTCATAACGGTAGTAGGGTTGAGGAGCTTCAGTCTCTAGCGCTTTTTATTTTTCATGTTTGCGCGAATTCAGGCATTTCCCTTGAAATGAAGTGGATCCCTAGGGATTCTGATCACCAGGCTGATTCTTTGAGTAGAATAATTGATTTTAACGATTACTCTATTAACGATGTCGTGTTTCATATGTTGGATTGTAAATAGGGGCCCCATGCAGTGGATAGGTTTGCCTGTAGTTACAAGGCCAAGCTTTTGCGCTTTATTTCTAGATTTTACCAACCCGGTGCTGAAGCTGTGGACGCTTTCGCCCAGAACTGGGAGGGAGAAAATAATTGGGTCCATCCACCGGTATCGCAAATTAGTAGAGTTATTACTCATATGAGAGCGTGTAAGGCTGTAGGTTGCAAAACTCTGAAGTTGTAGCTGTTAAATCATTTGTGCCTGTGTGAACTAAAATTATTTCTGGGATCTCGTGAAGATCGTTTTGAAGAATGGATCGTGCATTCTTGAGCCTGGGGCATCTAAAAAAACGTCAGCTCTTGATTTTGCCAGAAGAGTCTCTTCTTATGGAGGAATTTGCCGTTTGAGTCATATAAGAAAGCTGCAGTGTTTGATTTTACAGTACTAGGTGGACGTGATTCATCAGAGGTGTTTGCAGTTTTAACGTTAGGAGGTAGATAGGCTTCAGAAGCTGGTACGTTTGCACTGTGATTTGTCGATATGGTATTTTCCTGAGTAGGAACCGAAGCTCTATCAATGTCAGGTTCACGTCTGGTAAGTCTTGCAACTGATGACTGAAGAGGGAAGAAGTGATTTTCGGTCGGGATATTAACCAGGAGCAAGGTTTTGTCTTTTGTTGATGATTTTTCTAGAGTTTCTCCCTGAACACTATCTAAGGTCGTTGAGTCACGACGGATCCCCTGAGCTGGTTCAGAAGCTTTTGTGGATTGGTCCCACAGCATACGGACTTGCTCTTCGAGGAAATTGACTTCTGATTATAGTTAAGCGTTTTGCTCTTGTAACTATGAATTTTTTGCTAAGAGTTTAGCTTGTGACTTTTGGAGAGACTGGTTTTACTCTTGCCTTTTTTTTATTAGAGTTGTTTGCTGTGAAAAATACCTCGGAATGACGTCAAGTGGGAAGACAGCTCAGTCGAAACGTCTGCAGTTAATTGTTTTTGAAGTTTCAAGACATTGTTTTGTCGCGTCATTTTGTCCTTCATCTGTTGAATGTCACCAGAGCATATCTTTCTAACCTGGGTAAAGTCAACTTCCAGTTGTGCGAGTGTCTCTCAATGAGGAAATTGTGCCTAAATTCTTTCGGTGTAATTTTAAGAGACGCAAAAATGGGGGTGAAGTTCCTCTATTTGCAATGTCTACGCTGTGGCTCAAAGATGGGATGTCATCATCAGGAACAAAATTTCCAAAGAAGTTGTGAACCGAGCCGGTAAAGATTGATTTGTCTTCTACTGAAGAGATATCGGAGAAACTTTTCAGGAAGCTCAGCTGGTTTACAATGTCCAGGAGAGCCGGAAACTCATGTTTACTCCAGTCTTCATGGCCTTTTCCTTGTACAAGGATTCTGCCCGTCGTTATAAATAATGTTATTACCAATAATAGCTCATCAGGAGAGGCTGTTTCTTTAAGCAAATTAATGACTATCTTATCACATTTTGTGGCAGAATGATTATTGTCTTGCTCTTTCCAAATTACCTTGTATCCAGTGGCATTTCCGGTCAATAGGCTGTGATATCTTTGCACGAAGGTAGTAATCCAGTGTAATAATCAACATTCGGAGGTGGTGAATCCTAAGCATTTCGCTGAAGGCTTGGATAGATCAATGGATTCGTGAGGAACTTGCTTTGAAATTGCCATCGGCGGGTGGAATTTATCGACCATGTATATATTCAGGTCATCACTCGGTTGAGTAAGATACACGTGTGATGATTTGGAGTCGTTTTTAACATCATCGCATGCATTTTTATCCTCAATTAGGTCATTCTCCAGGTTTTCTTTCATTTCAATTTCTGTGTCTAAGTTATCCAAGGCAATAGCTAGGCTGTTCTAACTGGACAATACTAAGAGTAAAATTGTTTATTGAACAGCTCTCTTTTGGGGATGTTTGTGGGGGATAAGGAGCTGCAAAAGTTGCATCAGAAAATCATTCATTCGTACAGCATGTCATTAAGTTGTACCAGCAGGTGCTCAGGAGTTTTAGATAGCAAATACAGCAATGCACCTGTAGCTTATGCCCGACCATGGTCCCTGAAATGCTAATACAGTGCAAAATACCTTGTTGTTTATTTTCCAAATTAATGAGGTTATGTTATTAACTTACAAAGTGAAACCCAATTTCATAAAAAAAGTTAATTGGACAAAACATGCTTTGCAAATGAGGGTAAATGAATCATGAAATCTGTGACTTTGTTGTAACAAGCTCTAAACTCTGTGATAGAAAGAAAACGCAATGAGACTTCGAGATCAGAGATCAAATATTTTCAGGGCCTGTTTATACAAGGCAAGCCAGCCCAATTAGCCATGCTGGCCCTCTTTACCAGGCTGACTTGGCCCATGCCTTGTTTCCTCATAAAATTTTTGTTTGGTTACATCAAAAGGTAGGCTGGCCCTGCTAAGATCCCGGTTACTTGAACCAAGATCTCAACAAAAGAACCAGCCTGCCTTCTTATATAAACACAACAAAAACTTAAAGAGAAATTAGGTATGAGCCAAGTTAGCCCAGTAAAGCGGGCCAGTCCTGCTCCCAGGCTGGCTCACCTGATATGAACAGGCCCTCAGAGACCTACCATTTTCTAGGTACCATTTGCTGGCTATAAAGCTATACAAGCTCTCCTTATAACGATGCAATAAAGGCCATTTTGTATTAATTATAAGGATGCTTGTTCGACAATTCTACATTCAGCTGCCAAAAAAAAAGGATACAAATATAAAAGGAATATTTCAACTGTTTCATCATATATATATATATATATATATATGAAATGACGAAATTCAAATTGATCATCGACTGAAAAGTGCTCAATGGGTTTACCAGAGCTTTGAATAGATACGTAGACTTGAACTAGGTCAAAAACATTTACTTAATACTCAGAGTTTCATGCTTCATGAGAAGCAATCATCAGGCAACTGCCAAAAAGAAACAATACATGGTGTTTTATAGTGATTTAGAGTGATTTTGAAAAAAACGGTAGCGATTCATAATAGGCTGGGTTGCATAGCAACGGATAAACAATTTTCAGTAACCGCTGAAAAAGAAAAAAGAAAATACGTCTTACAGGCTTAAATAATCACGTTATTTAGAAGAAATTTCTTTTCTTTGACTACCAAATTAGATGGCGGAGTATTAGACATGCAAGATGCTATTCAAATGTAACGAAGAAGTGTAATTTATGTCTGTGGGAGAAGTACTATATAATTTGTAGACCGAATATGGCGACCCTGAACAACAGAAATGAACTCGTATCAAGTTGCAGACATGCAAAGAAATTTCAAATGTTTGGTGAGCATATGACAAGATGCACATTCGTAAATATCTGTATTCAGCTCTGGAGTGTCCTTTTGATCCGCCATGATTGTTGTTGAGCTTGCATATTAATTGACCGTGAGAGCCTGAAACTGGTACTGAAGAGGGCTTTGAAGAAATGGAACCCGAATTTCCGTTTGGAACATTCCGTCCGGAAAAACAGCACCACCTTCTGAACCAGAAATTCCGGAAATTTTGACTAAATGGAAAGCGCCCTTTGCCTCATCGCGTAGAATGCCCGGTCACATCCGGAAATTTAACAGGCTAAAGCCGCATTTGAGCCACGATTTGGTCTTTAATGGCGGAATAATAAGACTGAAGTGAAGCGACTTTGAGAGTTTTTTGTCTCTGATTGTGAGTTACTCGTAACCAAATCTCAATGGGTATCACCGGAACATTAATATCAAAAAACATCAAATTCAGGATCTTACCTTCGATTAATGCCAGCTTATCGGATTTCACTGGGTTTTTCGCGCTTAAAACCGACCAAAAAAACGGCATTTTTGTATGGACTTTCACTTGCGTAGACTTTTGCCGAAAGATTACAACCAAAGTTTGCATAAATCGTGAATGGTACCACCTGATATCGTGACATCTCTCGTCTGCCTTTAACACCACCAGTCTTTTAAACCAAAGAATGTGATAAAAACTGTTTTTTTTGTTTTCCTTTGAATTCGACCTAAACCCGTGAGGGGTAGCCAGCGTGAAGAAAATTTCCAGAAAACGTCTTTGAAAGCCAAAAAAATTCTCCGCGTTTCGGCCGCCATCTTTTTTATTTTTTCAAACTTGTTTCCAGTTCTCCTTGACCGGTTTGTTGGTTTTACCTCATGTATGCTTCATTTAGAAGTGTGACGGATAAAAACAGCAAAATACTAACCCCCACCCGGACGGGAAATTTTTTGTTGACCTCAATGGACCGGGAATTCTAAGTAACGTTTTTATTTCAGTTGATTTAAAACTTTACAAGTTGTTATATGACCATACCGCACTTATAATCTTGTAACTTTCAACAGCAATAGAAAACATGTCCAAAGACACAGGAAACACACCCCACATTCGACTGCAGCACTTTTCACAAAATAAAATAGCTAACTATTCCTTGATAAATTTAAACACGTCACGTCTAGTTAAATTAAGTGACAACACTAGCAAACACTATCTTTCCCGCGTCACGTTAGCATGCTTTGCAAAAACCCTTGAAAGACGCTCTACCTTATTATGCTTTTCTACATGTTAGCTCTTTTGTATTCTATTGGAAATCCACGACTATTATAATTTATTGCACTTTAACAATTACACTTTGTTTCAAGGGTTTTTGCAAACCACTCTAACACTGGACAACATTTTTAACAGTGCAAGACAACAATCCATGACCACAAAGATCTATTTCAAAAATGTCTTATGTCTGTTTTCATTTCAAATTCACAATGTTTTCGCAAAAAATAGGTAAATGTGATTAATAAATCTCAATGATAAACCTGACGATAACGTACTTGAGAAAATGTGAAATTGTGATAATTCTGTAACAAACTTCTTTGCAAACTTTGTCATTACCATTCAACCCAAAACTGTTAGTGATTTTTGCTTTTTCACTCAAACTTAAAAACAAATAAAAACCTTATACAGATCACACTTATTGACATCACAGTGTAAAAAACTACTATAACACAGACCGTTAGCTGTGATAACACTGAACAAATTTACAACAACATCCTCCTTTCTGATGCATTTTGTTGCTTTTCTTCTGCATGAGTTAATTTAGACTAAGTATTAGCCTCCACAGAGGAGGGGGAGGGGTGCGAGAGGTAAACTATATCTATGCAATCCCGTGTCCCACTGGGCCCCAGTAAGTTCCACGTAGTGGTTCTAGTATTGTAGATATGAAAAGACGCAGCTTTACATATCTTATTAATGTGTGGTATACTCAGGTTCTGGTCAAACCATGATCCCAAGTTTCTAACTGAAGTTACGGGAGCTATAATGCTCTCACCAACACTAAGACCATCAATGTTCATTTTAGCCAGTTGCTTTTTGATGCCTATAATCATGAATTCCGGCGTAGTTTATCCTTGATCATCCACAATCTATAGCCTGTTTGCATTGCTCCATTGCCTCAACTGTATCGTTTTGCAAACAAGCTGAGTCAGCATTGAATGATAGATACAGCTGAGTATCGTCTGCATGTGCATGCGATTGTGGTAGATAGTTCTTAATATCCTCAAAAAGCCTATCTGCATAGATGGTGAACAGCAGTGGACCTAGGCATGATCCTTGAGGAACGCCGCATTGCAAACTGAACTTCTCCGATACATTTTGGTCGAAAGACACGCGCTGCAATCTGTTGAGAAGGTAGGATGTAAACCACTGCAATGCCGATCCCCTAACTCCAAAGCTCGTACTGAGGCGATTCAATAACGCTCCATGGTCAACTGTGTCAAACGCAGCCCTTGAATCGAGTAACACAATCGAAGTATGATTGAAGAGAGAATACCATAACATTACCTTCTTGGGAGGTTAGGTTTGTTTTCACTTCACCCTTAAAGTTTGCCAACTCGCAATCCATGTGCATCCAATTTCCATATACTGATTTTCCTTGAGGTAAAAACAGGTTCCGAGCTTCCTCTAGAATGTCAGAACTGGTACTGTAGCCTGACATCAATACAGACCTAGTCCCCCCTCCTCTGGACTGTCGAACAGCAACAAACCTTTTCTGGACTTCTGAGAAATGCTGCCAGCCTAACTCAAATTTTCGCGGTTTACCATAGGAGCTAGAGGGTGTATTTTTCTTGTGCGACTCAGGGCCACTTGAGTGCTTTACTTTCTTGCGCCTTATTTTGTAGATTAAGGACTGCTTTCGTTCTTCAGCATCTTTGCTTTTCGTTCACAAAATGAACGTAGAGCGTACAGGTCGCCCCTTGTCTCTACCCCAAGTTCAACTAGATAGTATTCGGGAGAATAAAGCACTGCAGACCCGTCCATCCAGGAAAACAAAATTTTAAAACATCGTCAGTGCTGGCGTTGCTAGTGTCCACTGAAACATTGATGATGGTTACCCATGATTCTATTCTACCTATTACCCCCCTCCCCCCCCTCCTCGCATCCCGCGTCAAGTCCATCCAACGGATTTGCATTTATTCTTACTTGTCGGCCAATTCCCCACAACCCCTGGTGCTCAGAAAGAGACAATTACCTATCCCCGGATGGACTTGTCCCGGGTGTTCGTTAGTAGCTGGGGTCAATTACTTGTGAGCAGATACCTTTATTTGTAAGAGTGAAAACTAACCATTATTTTTATTTATATGGTCAAACAAGTAATAACATTTCCAAACAAACAACTTTTGCGTGCGAGGATACCACAGTGTAATTACATAAACACCAATGAAATTGAGCTTTCAGGAGAAAACATGATATCTTCACAGGTGAAAATAACATGTTATCTTCACACGTGAAAAAGATCACCATTGCTATTGTTACATAATAAATCCCACTTTCGCAGTGAAAGTGAAGTAGTTTGGTATTTCATTAGTGTTTATATGATACTTGTAAATAGCTGACTTGTCTCCAGTCATCTCCAAGTTGTCTACTTATTAATTATTTACTAGGAGAGCGTTTGGGTTATTGCCGGATTTCATACCGTGAGGGTCTGGGCACAAGTCCGTGTATTATGGGATTATTAACACAAGACCCATATATTCAGAAAGAGCACACCAAGCTTTACAAAATCCTCAAGTTTCGTGTTAATTGGGCCAATATTGAACAAGGTACAGCCATTTAAAATCTAAAAAATTTACTAAGAAATGTATGGATTTCCAGACATTTCCAGACAAGTGTCATAGCGCAGATGTCATAGGTAGCTCGTCGCGAAATAGGGATCTGCAGTTGAAAACAGGAAGAAGGTATGCCCACCAATGAAGGTCTGCTCTTGCTTGGGTATTAAGGTAAACATGATGGTGACGATGTTTTGCAGAGTTCATTACAGTAATCAAGGGTCGCAAAAAGGTCCGGCCAGCTCTGACGACCCGAGCAGCCCAGCTTAGTTTTCCAACAAGGCGTTGAAGGTGATGTTTTTGGCACTTGTGCTTGGTTAAGGTTAAGTTCAAAATGTCTAATAGCTCAGAGACGCGGACCCTGGGGAGCCGTAGTACACGATTCACTGTATCCATTTCGATCCCCAGAAAGCATAGGGATTGGCTGGCTTGAACAACCTTTGACCAGTTTATTGTGAAACCAAGTGACTGAAGCAAATGGAGGAGGGTGTCCACAGCGATTTGACACTGCTGCTGACTGGGTTCTATGATGAGGAAATCATCCAAATATGCAAGCACTGTGAAACCTCGTCGGGCCATCATTCTATAAACTGATTGGGTAAGGCGGTGGAAAACCATAGGAGAGGTTCGAGCACCAAAGGGAAGGCATTTATCAAACAGGAAAGTGATGTCGGTAGTACCTTGAAAAAGCCAAGACATGCCAGTGACTTTGGTCGACGACCCCACTCATGGTTGTGAAGCTATTCGTACAAAATTTAGTTAGAACCGGTTGGTTTTTGGACCAAACCGAAACGTACGACGGAGTAGTTGACATCATATAAACATCACCAGTTCCAGGTACATCGAGTTTGTACTCAATGCAAGCGGTCGACTGCAATCCACAATCAGTATCAACTCTGAAGAGTCCCTTTTGGGTACAGCTCCAATAGCATTAACAATGATGGGGGTTGTGTTTTGATGATCCAAAATGGCCTAGTGAGAGGCCCTTACATAGTTGCTCTTCAATCTGCTCTTTGGCCCCTGGCCTGAGCGCCGATCTGTTGTTCTTTGTGAAAGCTGGTAAAACAGTAGTATCTCGCGGAATCAAGTCAAACCCTTCTCGTACACCATTAAGAATCAAGTCTCTGTCCAAATTGTTAGCTAATTCCTTTGCCCATATCTCATATTTTAAGTCTGTGGAAATACAGGCTGCATCGGGCTGCTGCGCATAACATGAGGGCCCTGCTGATTGGTTGGAGTCAGTAACACACCTCTGCTGTTTCTAAACTAATGTATGGGTATTTCCCTGCTATAGGTGATGCAGTCGAGCTATCCCCTGCAAGTGGTTCCACTAAAGAATTGAGAAATAGCTCTGCAGGCGAGTGTGTGTTCAGGCTTGGGGGTAGTGAGTAGCTGTGTGCTTCCACTGGGGGTGATCCCCCAAACACTGTGGCTTTATACAAACATGGTCATACTTGCAAGCAGTGCCATACCTGCAGCCTTGTCGTCATTGGAAGTCATAGCACACCTGCTTGCCTGTGGTCGGGTTGATAGTTGAAGTTGATCTACCTGGAGGACGGTTTGCTTGTTTGGTTGAGCCAGGCTGGTTGGTGTCAGGCTTGTGGAGGGATTGCTGGTAGATAAGCTGCCTCTCTGTACCCCATTTACAACCAGTGGCGAATTGCATTCGTCGATAAAGGTCATCATAGTGGACGACACGGGCTATCAGGTAAGTCTTGGCCAGCTCTGAGACTTTGGTGCTATATGATATGTAATTCATAATGTCTGACATAGTTGACAAGGCACCTTCTTTGGCAAGTGTGTGCATGATCCTGAATTTTTCTGCTGACCATTGTGGAAAGGTGATGTTGTTGAGCGGGGGCTTTTTCTCATGGCTAGTCTTAAATATGATTTGAGCGCCACCAGAAGCGCCACGCACAGTCTCCCGGTCCTCTTCCAGAACAACTGGGAGGGAACTGACAAAATCTGGAATTAGCAGGGGACGCTTACCTCTGGGGGTGGTGCTGGGTTCCAGTAGTTTTTGCGCTGGATCCGCCAATTCGTCAGAAAGACCAAGATGAATTGGGTCCCCTAGTGACTCTTCTAAGGCTTTAAGCTCCTCCTGAACCGCTGTGTCAGATTGCAACGCAGTTAGAGTGGGTACAGTCGCTCCTTGGGTCGTACACTGGCCTTGATTTTGTGTGTTGACGTTCGCTGGGTTTGGGGCGGCCATCTTGGATTGACTTTTGTGTGCCATCGCGGACTTAACCCGAGCAAGCTCAATTTTGGCTCGTGTCAGTTCAAGTTCTCATTCTGAAGTTTGCTGATACTGGCGCCAGACTGCTTTTCTTCTGCAGGTGTAAAGGTCGGGGTTTGAAGTTTGTTGGCACTTGCAGACTGTTTACCTGCTTCGGGTGTTAAGCTTTCAAGCAGAGACTCTACTTGGTTCAATTCATCTCTAATCGCACGTGTCTGAATGCTCTCTGTCGGATCTAATTCTAACTGGAAATCCTGCAAATACTGGGGAGGTTTCTTCTCTCTCAACTCCTTCTAAGCTCCATAATTCAGAGAGGAGAAAGCCAGCTAAATGAAGCACATGTTAAGAGTTCTAGGAGCATTCTGACAGTTCTAAAGCGCAGACTCTGGTAAACTAGTATCCAGGCTTCCCTCCTCCCTAGAGTTAAATGTAAATAAAATGAATATTATTACTACGAAAAGACTACTGTATCGGAGAGAGACAGCAGGAAATAGCTAAGTTTAGAGTATCATAAATTGAACTGCTATTATTTTCTCAAGCGCTAAGTTACCTGGCCATGGCGATAAAACTATTTTGACTTTGTCACGAGTATATGTGGTCAAACAGTTCGCTAGAATAATGTTCTACATAAAATCCATGCCGAGGTAAAACCAGAATTTACTAGTCTCTCCTTTCTATTTGAAACCAGAAAACAAAGGAAATTTTATAGTTATAGTTATTGGGACAGTTTGAGGCTTTTTAACTTACACTGCAAGTTAGATAGTTGTTTTATAGTTGTACACATAAACAAACGACTTTTGGGACCCTTTCCCTCTTACAAACTTCACTGGGGCTCTTATGATAGCATTAATCTGTATAAGTAAAACAGCTTGCATCGTAATTAGATTAGTCGAAAGACAGCGAAAGACAACAAAGGAACAAGACATTTTTTTCAACTACTTTACTTTATCATTTTTTTCTATACTCTTTTTACCCACGACATTTACCCACACCCACACTTACGACCCACGACCTCTACCCACTTCCCACGACTCACGACATTTAGCTACACTCTCATTGAAATGTGCGCTCATTGAAATGTTCTGAATGGCTCGGGCTACTAGAGTGCAGCTGGTTTTATTTTCCCAGTGAATACACTACTGCTTTTCCCATTCTTTGATTTTGTTTAAATATCACTGTTAAGTTTAAAACTTCAGTTTAACCGACTGCGCTCCTTAACTTGGATATTGAGTATGAAAATGTAGACCTTTGGGACCTGTGGGGGGGGGGACCAACGCACCCCGTGCACCCCCCTGGTTACGGGCCTGTGGTCGTTTTCCAAATTTTCCATATTCAACTGCCTAAGAATTGCTGTGAGTCCCTGGATCAGTTACTTTCTTATCCTTGCAAGTTGTCCGCCATGTTTTCTCCTTTTCAGAATTAATGTTTTGGTGGGGACGATAATTGTCATAATTATTTTAGCAAATGGTGGCCAGGCCTTCACGGTTCGTTTGCAAAACAGAACACTGAGTGTCATACAGAATACAACATTATCACTTCATAATTCAACATCTGAATATCATCATTGAATATTAGAATGTCACAATGCCACGTTTGTTGTAAATGTGATGGNCTCTGTTGGATCTAATTCTAACTGGAAATCCTGCAAATACTGGGGAGGTTTCTTCTCTCTCAACTCCTTCTAAGCTCCATAATTCAGAGAGGAGAAAGCCAGCTAAATGAAGCACATGTTAAGAGTTCTAGGAGCATTCTGACAGTTCTAAAGCGCAGACTCTGGTAAACTAGTATCCAGGCTTCCCTCCTCCCTAGAGTTAAATGTAAATAAAATGAATATTATTACTACGAAAAGACTACTGTATCGGAGAGAGACAGCAGGAAATAGCTAAGTTTAGAGTATCATAAATTGAACTGCTATTATTTTCTCAAGCGCTAAGTTACCTGGCCATGGCGATAAAACTATTTTGACTTTGTCACGAGTATATGTGGTCAAACAGTTCGCTAGAATAATGTTCTACATAAAATCCATGCCGAGGTAAAACCAGAATTTACTAGTCTCTCCTTTCTATTTGAAACCAGAAAACAAAGGAAATTTTATAGTTATAGTTATTGGGACAGTTTGAGGCTTTTTAACTTACACTGCAAGTTAGATAGTTGTTTTATAGTTGTACACATAAACAAACGACTTTTGGGACCCTTTCCCTCTTACAAACTTCACTGGGGCTCTTATGATAGCATTAATCTGTATAAGTAAAACAGCTTGCATCGTAATTAGATTAGTCGAAAGACAGCGAAAGACAACAAAGGAACAAAACATTTTTTTCAACTACTTTACTTTATCATTTTTTTCTATACTCTTTTTACCCACGACATTTACCCACACCCACACTTACGACCCACGACCTCTACCCACTTCCCACGACTCACGACATTTAGCTACACTCTCATTGAAATGTGCGCTCATTGAAATGTTCTGAATGGCTCGGGCTACTAGAGTGCAGCTGGTTTTATTTTCCCAGTGAATACACTACTGCTTTTCCCATTCTTTGATTTTGTTTAAATATCACTGTTAAGTTTAAAACTTCAGTTTAACCGACTGCGCTCCTTAACTTGGATATTGAGTATGAAAATGTAGACCTTTGGGACCTGTGGGGGGGGGGACCAACGCACCCCGTGCACCCCCCTGGTTACGGGCCTGTGGTCGTTTTCCAAATTTTCCATATTCAACTGCCTAAGAATTGCTGTGAGTCCCTGGATCAGTTACTTTCTTATCCTTGCAAGTTGTCCGCCATGTTTTCTCCTTTTCAGAATTAATGTTTTGGTGGGGACGATAATTGTCATAATTATTTTAGCAAATGGTGGCCAGGCCTTCACGGTTCGTTTGCAAAACAGAACACTGAGTGTCATACAGAATACAACATTATCACTTCATAATTCAACATCTGAATATCATCATTGAATATTAGAATGTCACAATGCCACGTTTGTTGTAAATGTGATGGGTGTAAGTATTGGAATTACATGTCAAAATGGTATGTTCGAACATAAAGAGTTAAAAGTCAAAACTGACGTCTTATCGCTTTTTTGGGAGTTGATTTGCTATGTAAGTCAGTGTCGTGTTGAAATTGTGTTGCAAAACGTACTTCATTCATAGTTGCGCGTGATTCCCTTGCAGATCACGTTCCTAATGTTTTGATCGGAGGGAGAAATCCTGTCGGTAAGTGAAGGAAACATTTATTCAGTCTGATTTATTGAAATGAAATTGTTCCATTCATATATGTCTGTGTTGATTAGACGACGTATAAACGCAAAATTCGGCAGTTATTAAGAAAATCTAAACCTTTCTTCAGTGTTAACACATCACACAACACACCACTCCCCTTCCGTTTTACACACGAGGTCATTAAAAGTTCAGTTAAGAATGTTTGGACTTTCCGTTTGCCCCTTTTACTATGCCCATTAGGAGGCTGTCTTGTTGTGGGGTTGAAGTTTGGTACACTCCTTGCTGCAAAATAGTTAAACACCCTTTGGTGCCCTGTCTGTGGCGTCGTAGCAGGTTCATGTGCAAAACAAGGTGCAGGTACATTTGAAGATGGTTTGCTAACTTGTAGAATAGCATCGGTGGTATCACTAGTACATCCTGAATTGAGAAAAATGTATACAAATGTGACAATCCGGTTAAAATGTAAAAGCAACAGAAAAAAAAGTGTACACATGTACATGAAGCAACCAACCAGAAAGTAGGAATATAATATTTTGGACCCTTATGTGATTTACATAAACAAACGACTACATGTCCTATTTCTGTATGACAGGCCAGGATACTTCAGTGAAACTTTTAAAAAATGTTTAAAAAACGAGTAGTAGTTTTTTGATATACCAAAATTAACAGGTCAGTGGATGAAACGTCTGAAATTTTTTTCCAGTGGCAGAGAACTAGTAGAAATAAACAGCTTGCATCTCTCAATCCACTGGCTTACCTACCAATTTACATTTGGGTACTGGTGTCATTCAAATGATGACTTACTTTGTAAACTGATGGCTTCTTATATTGTTGAAAAAGTTTCTAAATAGAGTGGCAAAAGACCAGGTATCATAAAAGAAAGATATTGAATTGATCATTTGTTGTACTAAGAATCCTGAATAATTACTACCCATATTAGTATCATTTATACAAATGTCACTGTGATCTTTACAGAAATATGATGGAGATAATTTATAATCATTTTCATTAAAAATTCAGCGATTATTGCATGTTTACATTTGTTTATTACATTAAACCCTGCCTTTCCATGAGACTGATTTCAAATGATTAAAATTCCCCTCCTGACTTTTCAGAATTAACGTAGAATACAAGGTATAAAGGTTCATCCACGTAATTGCCTGCGTTTAAGTGATAGGCTGACATGCTTATGAATTATTAGCAAGTTCTTGAATAATTTATTGTATTGGTGGGACAGAGCCCCATACTCATAGAATATGGTCAACTTCTTTTCATTTGGTTGACCGAGCGTACGTACGTACGCGTCTACAGATTGTAAGGGTAGGGTAGGGGAGACTATCAAAAGGGAGGGAGGGGTGTTACGCCGCAAAATTTAACAACTTTGGACGCGAAATGTAACATTAACCGAAATGTAACAGCTTTTTACGCAAAATGTAACATGCAAAATGTTACAGCCTTGAAATAACTGAGAGACTTGGACATGAGCCTAGTAGATAAAGTGTGAATGGTCTGGTGATTACAAAAACAGTTTATGTATAAAGTTTTCTTATAATGTCAAATAAACTTACGAAAGGTGGTAAAACAGGTGATAACGTTACAAGTCATGTATAACCTTGGAATTGCTTTTAACTCTACAGCCTATCATGACCCAACTCCAAAGGATCCAGTTTATACCCTTCTGTCTCACACCAAAGTTTCCAAGAAAATTTATGAATGTCTAATAAACGAAAAAGCTTCTATACCATCAAGGAGTCAG